AATCGTAATTTACGGCCGTACTAATTACTAGTTATTAGGAACCGTCGAGTTCGCCAAGTCGATTTCGCTTGACCGAAGATCTTCTGTACGTCGCGATCTTCTCGATCGCACGTATCCTATAGATATACGTAGAGCGTTAATTAACTCCAATTTCGTTCCTATATGCGTATATATCGAAATATAGCCTCATTGCGAATCTAACGAAGACAAATTACGTAATTCTCGTTTAGCACGAAGCGTAAGAGAAAAAGATAAAGAAGGAGAAAGGAAGAGAGAGAGAGAGGGAGGGAGAGAGAGAGAGAGAGAGAGAAGGGGAGTCTAAAGTGTGTTAACGGCAAAATCGTTAATATGAGTTTATTTTTTACGAGTCATGGTCTCTCGCAATATTGGATTATCTTATTATTTATGCGAATAATGTGTGACATGAATACATTATACATACACGTATGATCCGAAGGATATGAAAACTAATCGTGGCCGAAGGATAACGCGTATATACAATATCGAGATAACTTTAAATCAACGTCGTCTCGCCTCGAATGATTATGTATTTGTTGTCTTGTGTATTTATACACAACACTATATATATACATATATATATATATTAGAATTGTATACATAAAATAAACTGTAGAATATAAATTAAGAAGTTAATTGTACGTAATAGATAGGTGGACGTTTATATTTTTCAAGCAATGCACATAAAAAGAGGTACCAGAGGTGAAAATATCAATCTATAATTACACGAAAGATACACCGCAAGAATTATAGAAATTATTAAGTATATCGGAACCAATTAGCACATAATGCTACAGCCGAGCGAATGTGACAGTAACGGCGATAGTAAAAATGAAAATAAAAACAAAAGGGGACGCAGTTATAATTTTACGCTCCATTTTTTAAATCGGAAATGAAGATACCGACGAAGAATTCAATGTTTTCCGGGAGTTATGCGGAAACACAGTTTTTCGGTTAATTTAAAAAAAATTTTTTGTAAACCGGCGGAAAATAAAATCTCGCGTCGAAAAGCGGTGTGATTTACCGGGCGCCGCCCGTCAAACCTGCGCATACATATACATATATATATATACACATATATATATATATATATATATATATATATTTGCAACAGATAAGTGGACTCAAACGGGATTGACGGGGATTCGTCTCGTGTGTGTGAGATTGAAATTCCCGTGAGATTAAATTCCTAAAAATCAGGATTCGGTCTGAAAACACACGTGTGCCCTTCCTTTTGTTTCCCTTGCGTTCTAATTGCTCGAAGTACTGTCTCCACCCGCGCGATCGCTTGTAACTCGACTGTCAAACTGGCTCGCAATTTTCTAAAATACTCCCATCTCAACGTTGAGTTTCTTTCTTTTTCTCTCTCTCACACACTTCCCCATATTATTATTACAGGTTCAAGTCGCAAGAGACGCGAGCTACAGACACATCTCACACTATTCGATGCTTCGGAAGAAGATTCGAAAGAACCGAAGTCGACGACGACGACGTCAGCGAGAACACGAGACGCGCAACTCGACAAACGAATTGCCACGCATTCCCCGGAGAATTCGTTGACGTTAATCGAACTCCGACGGGCGCGCGGGGGTTAATCGAGGCGGAGCGGAAATGAATCGCCGACAAAGTCGCGCGACAATGTGTCTCCGTCTAAACAGAGAGAGAGAGAGAGAGGGGAGCGTAGTAAGAGAGCGACAGCCTATTGAATTAACGAAACGCGCGATTATTAGCGGGTAATGGAAACGTCTCGTTCGAGAAGTTAATAATTTTACGGCAAGCGGGAGGAGGTGGTGTTGGGGCTGGTCGTTTTCTCGCCGTTGGTACGACGCCAACCCTTGTCCGCCTTTCTCCGCTCTTCGCGATACCCAGGCAGGTAAGAGCGAGTATGCTCGGCTACGAGATTCGACATCGACTCGCGAGCAAACTCTGGTCGATCGGCGCAGTGATAGACGCGCGACTAATTAGCGCGACGTTCGGAGGGAAGGGCGGCGAGGAGCAATTAAGAAGAGAAACGGCGATATTCACGGAATATTGTGAATATTATTCATTTTCCGTGGCACTGCTCAAATCGAGCTCTGCTCCCGATCGGCATTGTAATAATTAAAACGGCCGTTGTTGCTGTTTGTCAAACGCCTGCGTGTAAAATAAACTCGGAGGAAACTCCGAGAGAGAGGGAGAGACTCGTAAGATACGGCGCTTGAAATTGAACCGGGAAGGAAAGGCCGGCTTTATATATCTTCCTCTTCATAGAACAGTAGTCTAAAATTTAATATCACTCCGCGGTATATTCTTTATCCTTAAAAGTAAACATATTGCACCGGCGTCGTTGGGCGTTCGTATAATGCGTAATAATACACCGCAACACGCTGAAGCGGTGATGATATCCGTGCCGGGAAAGAAGGAAACTTTTAATAACACTATTAGCGGGACGGGGAATCGACGGATCGAATCGTAATAAAATTGCATAGCAAGGAAAGTTCGAAGGTTCTCAACTGACCTTCCTACCTTCCTTCCGTATATTTTCTTCGTGCGTCGCTCGACTGGGGGAAAAGGAGCGGGTAATGACTTTTCTTCTTTCGTCTACATTGTCGAATTGTCGGAGAACGAGTGTCAAACAAACCAGCTCGGCCGTCATACGGTCTTCGGTTTCGGTTTCCACGCGATCGAGACAGACGATACCGCTGCGATTACCCGCTTCGTGTTCTGGAAGGATCGCAGCCGAGCAAACCGCGGGTAAATCGAATTCGTCACTTAAACGTAATGGCATGTAATTTTCCGTAACAAAGAGAGCGAAAGAGAGAAAAAGAAAGAGAGAGAGAGAGAAGCGCGCGTTCGCAAGAATGCGCGCGTGATGTTCTGCAATGAGCGGCGACACTCGCATAGTTCCTGCGGCTCGGCGGGGCTAATTCAGTAGCCGACAAGGAAAGTTCGATACGGCGAGAAGCCGATATTGCGATGGACGATTGCGTAGGATCGTAAAATCTACAAATGGCCAATCCCGCGCGCCGGAGCTCGGCACATAGTAATCCGCGGTCGACGCGTCCTTCTTGCGTAACTTCGTCGTTGTCGTCGTCGTCACGCGCTCGGCGAACTCGAACGGGCGGCTCGATTATCCGTAATTAAAGAAGACCGAGGCAGGCGCGCGCGATGGAAACGCGGTGCAATCGCACAGAGGAGAGACGTCCGGAAGAGAACACCTTTTTCGCTCCTCGGGTCGCGCCTCGAGACGCAATAGGAACGTCTTGATAAGAAAATTCGAAATGCGCCGTTCGAGAGGAAAAGAGAGGAAAAGAAATAAAGGTTACGGGATCACCGGAAGAATCGGGGGGATTCGCGACGGGGCGAACGTCGAGTGAACGGGGTCCGCGCCAAGTATATCTTTTTAGATTCTTTCGTTCGCACTCGTCGTAATGCGATTATCGACGGGCAAGTACAGGTTTTTTTTTTTCTTCCGGGACGCGCGAGAGAAAAAGAAAACGGAGAAGGAGACGGGAAAAGCTTCCGGTGAACGACGACTCGTGACGGATTTTTCGCGTCATCGTCATCGCGTCTCTCTCTCTCTCTCTGTCTAATTAATTACAAATTGAGAAACTCTACTCCAAACTTATTGCACCAATCAAGAACGCTCTTAAAGAATAGCTATCTTAAAGCGATAATAAAATGCTTTCATTAAGGTGCCGGAAAAAGTTCGCGCGGAAACTTTCTTAGGAAACCCAATGAGTGCAGTCTCCTTCCAGCTGTAGATTCGTCACATCGAAATACTCGTGCAATGTTTGCACACCTTTTCCGTGGGTTCGAATGTAGTCATATCCGCACAGTTCATCATCTTGAATAACAGAGGGACGCGTCCCGAGCGCGTCCTCTCTGACGATTCATTACCTTCCTCAAACCGCTCAAACCATTTTTGCGCTATCCTTTCAGGCTGACAGTGCCCTTCATCGCATACGCTACAAGTGCGTTTTGCCACATCTGCTGCTGCTGCTGCATTCCCAAGTTTAAACTCACAAAGCAAGAAAGCGCGAGTTTTCAACTTTTTTCTCCCATCCATCTTTAACCTCAACACAAACAACGGAATGTTGAAACAATTGAAAGCTGCGCATCATGTATGTACACCAACGACATAAATGTAACTTTCTGTCGATACCAGCATCATGCGTTACACGTGCGAATTACCGACTGAAATCCGACGTCAATTCATAATTAAGAAGGAAATCGCGCGAATTTCTTCCGGTATCTATAATATCCATCTCTCTCCTTCTCCTTCTCCTCCTTCGTTCCGCGCGAGAAATTTCAAAGGAGCGCGCCACCAATAGTTTTGCGATTATTTCACGATTGTTTTTTACGAGTGGCTTACGGGACCACTCTCTATGAAAACGCTATGATCATTCTCGGTTTTATTTTATCTTCCACTCGTGAGAGAGAGACTCGTGAAAGAGAGAGAGAGAGAGAGAGAGGGGAGAGGGAGCTCGGAGGCACGTCAATCTCGCCGCAGCTTTCCACCGGATTGCATTTTTATTCCTTCTTTTATCGACGATCCAATTGAGCGATATTTATCCGTGAGTAGCGGAGGATCGTTCGATTGTTTCCCTTTCTTTTTACCATGAGCACTCTTGCCGAAAACACGTGGCGTGGCCGACTTCCTAACAGATAAATCCCCGGTCGACGGGGGGTGTTTTGCATTTTCGACGGCCGCGAAACTCTGTCGGCCGCGTTGAGCGAACGCGGCCGTCGTCACTCGACGTGATCATCGCACGAGCGAACTCTGATTAAATTCAACATTTTCCCAAAATTTTTTGCGGGACACGGCAGCGGTCTCGTTCTCGAGACAACCGAACAGCCCGAACTTTTTCTTTCGCGAGACTACGCAGAAAGAAGAAAAAGGAAGAAGAAAGGAAGCAATCGGACAATCTCGAGCCGAGTCATCGTGAAAATCTGGGAGGGAAGAAACAATATTACGGCGATACATCGATCGGTTTACTCACCGGATAATCGTCGTATTTGGCTGGGTAATCGGGGTAATCGACGTTGGCGATGCCGTTGGCCGCGCTGCTCCTCTTGCCGATGGCGCGCTGTTCGAAACTGCCGGTGATGATCGGCACCATCGCTATCACGACCAACGGGACAACGTTGACGCCCATATTAGCCGCCGCGCAATCCTGAGCAAGCTGTCCGGCTCGGTTCTGCGCCGAAGAAGAAGACGCCCGCGGCGGAGGACGCTTGGAGGAGAATCGCTCTCTCAAACGAACGACGACCGGTCGACCACCGCCAACGAGGAGGACGACGGATGCGTTCCTCGGGTTCGACGACGTCGGCTGACTCCTGCGTGACCTCACGAGACCGCTCGATCTCGATCAATGGTCGAGTACGACAGCCGTTTCTCAGGTGTCGTCCTGGAGGGAGCGACGGGAACCTGCGGCGGCGGCGACGATGATCTTTCGACGGGGACGCTCTTCCTTCGGAATCACCGAGCACCACCGAAGAACTCTCTCTCGAACTTCGGCAAAGCTGGAGGACGTACTCGGGGACGCAATGTGACGGCCGCGGTGGGCAGCCACGCTCCTATATACTTCGGCCTGCACGCGTGGTCGGCATCACGCAGGCGCCGGGGCGCTCGTCGCGCGCGACGGAAGAAACCGCGCGCGTCGGCCACCGTGTGTCCTATTGCGTTTCCGTTCGGAGTACGTGAAGTTAGCGAAGGAGGTACTTTGTCCGCTTTCCTTTTTTGTTGTGGACATATATGATTATATATGGGTTATATACGGGTAAATTTCATATATGATCTTTTTTTCCCAGGTCGAAGGAAGAAAAATTCGAAAATTTTATATTTCGCGTGTTTAGCTGAAAACGTTCTCGATATCCTAGTCGGTTTTGCGTTTTTTCGCTTCGGTCTATTCGCAGCGATACTCGTTATCTCAACGAGTCGGATTAAAGAGACACCGGGCGTCACCGGATCCAGAAGATGTAATTTTACAGTTTGCACTTCAATAGGTATGTTTATATATATATATATATATATATATAAATATTTACGTATGGTTTAACAGGTTCAGCCAGGAATAGAGAGATGTAATGATCGAGTGGGAGATAAAACTCTAGAGCGATGAAAGTTCGCTCCTGTTTCATTTTCCAACGCTTCATTTTTCGCTGAATTATCGATCGCTGCCTGGTGTAACTGACAAATCGTAATGCACCGCGTTACGGCCGCCGGCGTAAAAATTAAACGCACGAAGGGCACTCGGGAGGACAATTACAAAAACAAAAATATGAATATACACCGCGAAATTCGTTCCGCGGAAAATTCAGCGGGACGCCGCGCTTAACGCCGAAATTCAATTTAAAATCTCGCTCGTTTTACAATATTCTATCACACGTTCGCAACGTATGCGGGTGCGTGTGAAATGAATCTCGCACCTTAGGAATGAAGAAACGATCACTGCCGAAACGATCACATTCGGGCGCTTCTTGACCGCTCGAGAGCCGTGAAACGAGACTTGTTGCCAAAGTCCATCCACGAATGAAAGCGATTGGTGCGTGAGACAGCAGCCGAGATGTACGTACATTGCAAGAGTGTAATCACGAAATCTAATTCTCCAGGGGGATGGCTCGAAAGTTCGAAAGTTCGTTGCCGCCTGCCGTACCTACCAACGCGCTCTCTTTCTCTTCTCATTAACGAGACGGACGTCGCGCTAGCAATTATTCGCAAAATGGTCGAGTTTTATCGAACGTTCTCCGGCCGGCACCGAGGCCTGAGTTATGTCCGTGAATGGGAGTTATTGCCGACGGACGTGAGCGAGATTTGAAAGAGCGCAAAAGAGGACGTACCCTGCGCACAGCCGCAGCCAACGCTCGCGAAGGGGTTGAAGGCTAATCATTTTTCAGAATGTCAATGCTGTGCGTCGACGACGAGCCGTGCCACGACGACGATTTCCACCCGGCGAAATTATACGGAATCGCCGATTTTTCCACGTCGGATTCACTTCTACAACTCGTAAGTCCCTTCGGCGACGTATCCCGGAATCGTTTCATCCGTCAGCCTCTGGGAGAGAGAGGGAAAGAAGAGCGTTTATCATAGGACAAGTTCTCTAGAGATTTCAAGTATACCGTGAGAGAGATAAGCATATTGATGAATTTATATAACAAAGGAAAATAAAACAGTTATAAATCAGTTACAGAAGCAAGTTAAAAAAGAAAAGGAAAATAGAAAAATAGAAAGAAAAATTATTACAGTCCGCTGTCACGCTATTTGGTTTTGAATTTGATTTGAATTTGTTTGATTTTATTGCCAACACATTCTTACTCTCACTTTCACTCTTATTCATCTTCTTATTTTTTTTATTCTTGAGATTCAGAACTGCGAGAAGGGGGGTGGGGGGGGGGGAGAGAGAAAGAAGAGAGAATTTCGAAGAAACATCTCGAGTTGAAATTTTGTCGCTATGTTAAACCTTGAATTTTACAACACAATAGCAGCTAAGATAGCAAAAGAAATTCAATTTCAATTCTAATATAACTTACTCCTACCTTGATCCCGATGTCTGAAATCTTTATTTTCGTTGTTTTTCAACGTCAAAAAAGGTTATTCAAGGTAACTATGAAAATTAAATGTGTAGAATTGAAGGTTCGAGAGAGAAAATTAATAACTGTTGATATAGTTAAAATAGATTTTTTTAATCCAGAGGCCCAATCTAACTAGGCGCAAACTATCTTTAAGAGCGTCAAAGTGGCATCCAAATTTCGACTCGGTATGTTCTCTTTGTCAGGAACGAAGATTATAACGTTTAAGATAACGTTTGAGTGACGCAATTGCTACTACGGGAGATCTCCAATCGCTTGTGAAGCAAATAGCCTGCTCCAAATTGTTCCAATAATTCCATCCTCCGGTATTCCTCGAAACATGTTTGAAGATAAGAATATCTAAATGTTAATACGTTCAATATGCACGCAATGCTTGCGAAAGTCCAAGAGTCGCGAAACGGCATGTTGCGAAGAGGAACGATGACGATAACGACGACAACGACGACGACGTTCTCCTTTCGGAAGTCACATCGCAGACGCGACAGGTGTTTTGTGACGAAAAGAAATCGATTTAATTAAGAGCCCGTCACGTGCGGCCGATAATTAACGACCAATAACTTTCGGTTCACTTGGCTCCTACGTGATGAATGACTGCTCGCTCGAACATTCTTAGAAACGCTGTCCTGTTCTCGTTAACCGAGTTTGTACGAGAAATCCCGTTTGCAGCGTCGTGTATCTTGTACTTTCGGCTCTCCCACCGGTTGCTCCTCCGAGTCGAAATTTGGATGCTACTTTGACGCTCTCACTCTCAAAGCTAACTTGTCCCTACTTGGAAGATTACTATTTAGAAGACTAAATATAAATTGAAAAACTTATTTTGACGATACGGAGAACAGTTAAATTATGAAAATCATAAAAGTAAAAATATATAACTAATATAATCGATATTCTATAAGAAAGCTATAGTACATGTTCTGTAATTAAAAATGACTAAGGCCCGGTTACACCAATGTTATTTTTGCTTTAAGCAAAATTTAAAACTTTGAATTTGTCGAACCGAAACAAAAACGACACCTAAAGTACTTTACTTACTACTTACTTTAATTTGCACTTATCTTATTAAGATTAGTGCAAATTAAAGCGCTTTTGGTGTCGCTTTTACTTCGGTTCGACAAATTTAAAGTTTTAAATTTCGCTTAAAGCCAAAATAACGTTGATGATGCAACTGGGCTTAAGTATTAGCAATATTTCATTAAAGTGAATATAATGAAAATTTCTCAATTTTGATCGAGATCAATTCACCACTAGTCAGAAATTTTCAGATATTTTACGGATTGTTTCATTGGCAGTAAAGCATCTGCGAACTTAAATATAAAATCCGGCCATGAATGGCGGCCTTTATCTAAATCGCGTCGCCACTTTCGAGAGGCCCGACGGGCCACGCTGCATGCGAACATTAAACGACTCATTACGTGATTAGCGGGCGCACAATTAATTAGCTAATTATACCGTGTGAGATCTCTATTTAATTCATCTCTATGCGCGGAGACGTACGCGATTTTAGCTTTGAGATCGTCGTCGCTCATCCCGCGCTCGCTCCGTTCCGGCGAACCGCCGCCCTGGCGAGACGAGCGGCGGGATTATTTACGTTGCTGTCGACTCGCGTAATACAATCCCGTAAGTCTAAACCACTCGGCCTTCGCTCCATTTTAATTGCGCGAAAAATGCGATCGATGCGACGGCTCTGACAATCGCTCTGACGAATTGCTTTTCTCATTTTCGATCGTCCGAAACGCCTTCCATCAGGCTATTTCTTGCGTCTCTTAACGCTCCCGACGCTTATTACAAGTCATCGTAGAGCCGTTTTCTTTACGATTTGGAATATTTTCTTCTTTTCTTTGATGTGTCAAATAGGTTACACTTTATAATAAATTAATCAATAAAATGAACAAATGAATGAATCAAATGTAAAAATAACGTGAACTAACATAAAATAAATATCAATCTCAAAATATAATCAATATTAATATTATTTATTTTTATCAAGTAAATTTGTATCAAATGGGTTACTCGTTATTAATAAATAAATTAATTAATTCAATAATTAGGTCGCTAGGTGAAATATCCGACCTATTCGTGGGAAATATTCGTGATATCATTTTATTCTAGATATATCTCTTCGGTTCGCAAAATTGAGAAATGTTTATCTCAATGATACGAAAAAACCACCGCCATTTGGAAGCACATAGTAGTATGAATGACCTTTAATTTGTTTTCCTCCCCCACACTACGTTGAGCATCACGTTATCACCGACTCAGTAACTTATCGTTCAAAAAAGGAAAGAAAGACCAAAACTTCAACTATCAAACGCGAAAGAGTAAGAGAAAAGCATCCAAATATCAGCTGATGAAATCTCCAATTCGATTGCTAAGAATAAAAAAAAAGACGTATAAGTTTCTATCACCGTGTAATTCAATTTTCTCTCTCGCGCATTTTTACGTATCGAGACTTCGAATACAATAATTTTCTTTTAGCGCGGAACAGTCTCCCAGATCTTCACCGCTCGATTACAGCGTAACGGGTGAAGGAGGGGACATTACAGAAGGTTCAAGTGGAACTTCGATTAGCTCGCTCCACGCATTATGCAATTTGCATAACGTGTACACGCGCGTTCTCGCGCACGAATTGGCTTGGATATCTATCTGATAGTCGCGTCTTTCGCGAGTTATATCGAGCTGGCGAAGGTACGAAAACGACGGACATCATGAGAATAAGCGAGGACAATTCTCGAAGAGCGCTTTCCACCTCCAAAAAGCAAAGCAGACAGATCAGTCTTCCAATTCTATTCAGTTAATTTCACACTCGATCGAGTGAGTTTCTGCCCCTTACCCTCTATACATGCAAACGCGAAGTTATTTCAGTTCCGGTCTATAATAGATGCTTTAAGCTCCAAGCCTTAAGAAATTGACCAATCACAGTCGAATGTAAGGAACATAATCGACTGTGATCGGTCAATTTCTTAAAGCTTAGAGCTTAAATTCTCATTGTAAATCCCGCTTTAAATTCTAATCTCCAATAGATGCTTTAAGCCTTAAGAACTTGACCAGTCACAATCGAACTATAGAAGAATAATCAATCGTGATTGGTCAATTTTTTTTTTATTAAGACTTAGAGCTTAAATTCTTGTAGACCCCGCTTTAACGACTTTACTTACAGCAGAACGGGAGACATTAGCGAGATCTAAACGGTATTTAAATACGAAATGTTGATCATATTCTCCGTACTATTTGAGGGAAAAGGTTATATATTGCGCTCAACCGGCTCGATCTAGCTACTTGCGATGGCGCGAAAACGAAATTGTCCCCCGTTAATCGTATATTTTTGCCTTCGCGTCGCCGCGGCTGTCGCGAATCAGAAAGGTTGCAGCCGGAGGTCGTTATTCTCCGTGGCGCGTATTTAGCAGCGCGATGAATGAATACACGGTATATTCCTACTGGGGGAAATCGGAGTATCGGGCAGCCGCATTTAGCGCTAAATATGTGACGAGAATATACCCGGGGGTTGCCGAGTTCGAATGGGCTTGCGGTCTGGCTGCCTGTCGACGATTTACTCTCCGGTGAACACATACACGACCGGCGGGTTTCCACGGGGGGAGAGAGAAAGAGAGCTCCAGTAAGCAAAAAATGTTAAATCAATTTTTTAAAACATTGATTTTACACGGATTTTATAAACATTTCGACACAATATTTGAAATGTTCTTAAACTGTTACTTGATAATATAATATTTCTAAATATTACAATCATATTGTATAAATATTATTTTTAATATTTAGGTCAAATGTTTGGGTCGAATATTGTTAACAATGACGTTGTGCGCAACATTAAGAAGTACATATTTGAAAACATAGCATGTTACAAAATATCATTGTAATAACGTTGTGTTAATGCTTACGGGGACTCCACGACCGCGGTCGCCGAGCCGCGAGAACACCCCGTGACGTCGGGGGGTTAGTCGATGGGTGTCCCGACTCGCCGCTCTTAATGGAGACTTGAGAACGAACGAACGCTCGTGCGCGCTCGGAGTAAGCCGAGGCGGTAAACTGTCCTAAAGGTTTCCCTGGTAGCACTTAACCACCCGCTGGGGCCGGCATTTCTTCTCCCTTTCTGTCGGAGCAAGCAGCTGGATTCTCCGATCACGAGCGCGTTCCGGCGAACATTCGATTTCCGATCGCGGGCGTCGTCCGAAAGATCGGTCGAGCCGTCGATCGGCAGACGTCTGAGAAGTTTCCGCGCTTTGAGGAGAGACAAGATTCAATTTGATTGCAAGATAATTTCGGGGACAATCTGAGAAGTTAAATAGAGAGAGAACGCAGCCGAGAATTAAGCAGCGTCGCTGTCAGCATCAAAGTTATTTTGCACACCTGCGTACCTGCGAAAGTTCGATTTCGACTTTTCGGCCGAGCACTCGGTCTTTTATTACCGTAAGTTTTCGTAGAAATGTGATTTCTCAGGATCAAAGGCAAAAGTGGTACCACGAAACTTGGTTACCCAGAAGAGAGAGAGAGAAGGAGAACATAAAAGATGAGCGCCGAAAGCGTATGTGCGTCACTGAATACTGCAAACGGCGCGGTCTTTTTTTATCACTTTAATCGCCGTTGCGATCCAATATAGGATAGTTCAACGCCCACGGATTCGAATTGACGTATCTTCCGCATTTCGTCGATACCTTTTATCGGCGAGGAGATGGAAGCGGATCGGCTTATGAAATAATATACGCGCTCGCTCTTTTACAATTGTATTTTAATATAAATAGAATATAGCATGCGTGCTATTAAGGATGTATATCGCCCATTAGTGTAGCGTATTTTCAATGGCGGACCGAGGGGCCGCTAAATCGTAAATTTAATACTTATCAAGCAAAATTACGTTCTCAATAACAACCAATATTTCCGTATTTGAAATATCGTGTGTCATATTTAATGTTGTATACAACATTCATCATTACAATAATCATTATGAAAAAACTTTGATGCTAATTTAGAGATTTCGATAATGTCGAAATAAAAGTGTCATAACGTTGCATCCTTAATATCGCGCATTTCGCACAGGTTCCGAGACACGGAAAAATCGATGCTATCAATTTCTCGAAATTTTGCTTGCTTCAAACAAAATCCTAAAAAGAGAAAAGAACTCGAGAAGTCATTGGCTCAGATCGACAAAGAAAAGAGATAACGAAAGGTGCACGCGTCGGAATTCCTGCGGTTTGCCATGCCGAAAAAGATAAGGACGATGACCCCGTGTCGCAAAAAGCGGAAAGAGGCATTTATTTTGAAATGCGAACGGCGAATGCGATCGATTGTTTTATCATCGAAATCGCCCGATAAGACTCCACTTATCTTGTCGCATATCCTACAGATGGATCTAAATGCGTTATCGCGCCGTATCAGTGGAAGATATCAGGCATCGACAATCGGCAATACGTCGGTAACAAGCGGAAGCGCTCTTGTTCGTATTGTGTTCTCAACGAGTTGATATAAATAAAAATATACGAAACTGTGATTAAGCACATTATTTAAGAAATTCTTTTTATCTCTTTCTATTTCCTTGAGAAACCGTTGACGTGTCTACAATCCCTGGCGCACTTTGGGCACGTTCGGTATGAAATTCTTTGAGATCCTCTTCGATGTCCTTCACATCACCGAATGTACGATCATCCGTGTTTCTAGAATATATTCGTGAGATAATCTCTGCATCTTCGGAATGGTCGACAGATTGAGACAATTTTTTAAACAGAGCGATCTTTTCGGTTTTACTTAAAATTGACCTAGAAGGATTAAAAGTATAAATGTAATTTGTACATTTCTCACGGTAAAATCAAAGGAACATGATATAGAAATGTAATTCAACATTAAAAACACAATGACAAAATGTCGCGACAATAAGTTTACGGTAATAAAGTATCTTCATGCGAATGCAATTTTTATCATTTTCTCTGAACGTACCTTGTGCAGCTTTGCGTCGATAATTTCTCGATGATCGCGGCATCTACGTTAATCTTCTTTGGCTTTTGAACGTTGCTTTTTAATTTCTGCATAAGTAGATGGACTCGCGCCTTTAACGTTGCATTTTCATATATCAATCTATTATTTCTCTGCACAACCTAACGATTTACGTGACAATATAAGTTGAATTTATATCATTTCCCTATAAACGTAATATATTCCTAAAATATTACATGAATATTATTCAATATATTAAAATAATATTACTAGAATATTATTAGAATATTACGTCTAATATTCTAAGAATATGCCCAGAATATTACTTAATATATAATATTAAATAATATTAGACGGTTACTTCATTGAATAAACCGAATACATATTATTGCGTCTTCCCACGCTACAAACATACAGCAGAAGTATTTTCATGATGAAGCATAAGATTGCCTACTTGCAAGAACTTGGCTTTACTGAGGGGTAACGGCTCTTGAAATTTCCTCGACACGATTAAGTTAAGTTCCTTTCTCGCCTCGTCTAACTTCTCCATCATTTCCGCCATCACCAGTAAATGCTCGTGCAACAACTGATCCAATTTGTTCCTTAAAATATCCTTAGCATATTTCATACGAAGGAACTTTATGCATAAATTGTATATAACTTCATTTTTATTCGCCAGTTCCTCCTTGAACTGTTTGTTCTCTGTCTCCAAGGTATCTTGAACTTGCTCCAGTTCCTTACGCCGTTGCTGGTCGAGTTTGGTGAATACATTACCGGTGCATCGGACTCTGTACCGTTGCATTTCTTCGGTGAAGTGATCTTTCTCCCGTTGATAGAAGTGCCTCTCATCATCTAACTGTTCTACAATAAAATTGGTCAATACACACCGCTTGGAAACATCATTTTATACATATCTGTTGAATCAGTATCTTTCCGACAATAAATGTTTGTAATGATCGAATCTTACGTTTGAGATTTCTGTTACATCTCTTTTGCTTCTTTACCTCTGACAATAATCTGCCTCTCTCATGATGTGCGCTGTTCAATTGCGAATTTTTAATTTGTATAGCATCTTCTAAATTTGCATTTACTTCGCCCAATTTTGCTACCTTCGTATGCAGAATTAAAAAATATATAATTATTAATATCGTTAATATAAGTAGCACGCATTTTTGTTAGTTGCGATTAAGATATAGAAAAAAGTTTGCAACTGATGGCAACTTACTTATGTCTACGAGAATATATAAATTTAACAGTTGATATAATTTGCATATTACATATTAAAATACTAACATACTTGTTGCTGTAAAGCTTTATGCTCAACCAGGTCACATTCTGCAGTACCCTGAGATACTTCGTGCTCCGCATTAATAGAATGTTTATTTGAATTAATATTCTGCATATCATATACAGTATATTCAACAAATTTTGAGGTAATAATTGAAAACTTTTCTGAGACTTCTGCGTGCTTAATTCCGTTAAAAACTCGAAGATGAATGTCAAATCAGTTTTGATGTTCTCCTTTACATGCAAGATTAGTAAATAAACCTGACACGTTCATCGTAGGTTACTTGTTCAGTCTGTATATAAATTACTTGTCAAATATATAGTCATCGTCGTTGGACGCATTAGATAAAATTGGAAACAAATGAAATACGTACGGAGTATCGATAACTCTTAAATTTTATTGGCAAATATATCGTCCCATTATTCATAATTTTAAAACGTAAGCGCAATTTATAGTAAACGTAAAATATGTTCATTTTGTGGACGAATTTGAAAGAATTACTGAAAGTTGAATTTGAAACAACTACTGAAGAGATTCATCTATTATTCTCAAAACATCATGATAAAATCGGAAAAAAGTTCATCACATACAGACTAGTAATTTCACCATTACAAATTTATACGAATCGCTGTAACAGAACATCTTGTACTCTAGGAACAAGAAGAAACTCTGATCACGACATATAAGCACATATAGAGTATTATATAATTACTGAAACATCGCTGAAAATTAATAGTACAAAATAGATGATAGAAAGTGATAGGTATGCTTAAATGAACATTTACCCAAGCGATACGGATTAAAAGTTGTGAAATTTTTTATTGTATCGTATATGTACAAAATAGGTGTACAGACTACTAGGTGTACAAGCTACTCGGATCCGTACGCGTGTCTCATAGCACGTTTCGCGTGCTGCAGTCGCGTGCTGACATCAATGTAAGAACATTTCTTTTACCCGGTACACCTGTAACCCCCATTTCTATTACCTTTCATCAAATGGAATGAATGTTGAGAGATGACATATGTATATGCTTCCTCTTTGCATAATGTTGATATCTTTTTTTACAGACACAAGTAAGATTCCGGAGTAGAGAAATCTCTCCGAACGACTATTAATCCTTTCCCCCATCTTGTACACACGAAAATAATTAGTTACAAAGGAGCCTTTATCGCGCCATTTTCTTATAGGAGACTATTTTCAAATCGTGTTTATACGGCTACGTTAGAATAATATATTTTTTTTCGCATCTCTGGAAGTGCGTCGATATGAACACGATCTCGGAGGAGAGAGAGAGAGAGAGAGAGAGAGAGAGAGAGAGAGAGAGAGAGAACGTAAAACGTATGACTGTATATCCGTTCATTGGCTTTCCACTGATTTCACAGTAACAACAACTGGGCCAGAAAATTGTCCAAGCGCTGCTTTCGCAGAAAACGTGCGCTCACACAATTTGTATCGCGGTTAATGTAGTGAAATTAAATTTGAACTTTTAGTTCAGAAAAAGAAACAAACTATTGTCGTGCATTGTATTTAAAAATGTTTCCCCATACACTTGAACGTGATTAGAAAATACTTTCTGGAGATAAGCGAGGAGGTTACGAAAAAAAGTTGAATATGCATTTCCAGTAGTTTGACGCAGATACTCAAGTTACATGCAATAAATGTAACAAGTCCTGCTTTGAAGAAGGAAAAAAGCATTAGACTAACCACAGCAAAAAGTGCTCTTATTCTATACATCCGTCAAAGTGCAAATAAATGTTTCTCGACATAACGCAATGTCATCCTTTTTTTTCTTTCTTTGTGAGAGAATTACCAAGATGTGATAAATCGCTGAAAATCACGCTATAATAATCTCAGTAAAATCTCGTGGGTCCAGTTGTGTTTCTCAAAAAGTGGAAGGCAACGTTTGTCGTTTGATAATGAAATGATGAGTTAAAAAGGGGCAAGACCCTCGTGAAATGATACTAGATTCGCACAAATGCACAGATGATAATGACGGACTTAAGTTTAATATCCTAACTTAAGAGTTTATTGTATTTCCATAATTTTAAGGCTCATGTTTATTTTTTCTTGTTCTTGTTAGCCTGATTTTTGTATTTGGCTGCAGTTGTCAATTTGGCATTCTTCTTCTTAGGTTCGTCATCTTCATCGTCCTCGTCATCAGGGTCCTGCAAGATATTCAAGATGTAATCGTACAATGATATATATAAATATATCGAATTAATTTTTGTACCTGGTTATATTTTTAATTTTTAGAGATTATAACACTCCAAAATTGCATATAGAACACACTTCATCGAAATCTTGAAATAAATACGGGAAGATCTCCTGTATAATGTTTATTACTTCTTCATATATTTTTGTAAATAAAACATTTATAAGTTTTTTTAAAATTTGTAACTAAATTTTAAAAGAGGAAAAAAGGAAATTTCTCTAGGTATCACAATTAAAATATATCAAAATACCAAAGTTTAGTTGTTAATAATTCCAAGTTTCTAAAAATACATCTTGTATCGCTTAACACAAATAACAATCTATAACAATTTATAATTTGTGATAGCAAAACAACATAAAAATTAAATGAGCCAAAGACATTATCTTACAAAGAGAAGAAGCATGATCAATAAAAAATAAAAATCTCTTTGCAAAATAGGATAATTTATTAAACGAAAATAATGGATGCGGTATGAAATGTATCTGGTACACATACATTTCTGACTTTTCATAAATAAATCATTTCTAGTTCATCCATCCCTATCAATTAAAAAATATCTTAAAATATTGTAAAAGAGTGTTCTTTGTGCAATATTGTTATATCTATATCTTAACGTAATATTAGACTACGGTGTCGTAGTCTACTTCGAATTTCGAGTAATCCACTTCGAATTTAATGCGCTTCTTTTTTACCTCTGCGGAAAGCTTTCGTTTCATTTGCGGAGCCTGAAATCGGTATATTTCTAATATATATAATTTGAAATATTGCAACTGATTTTATTTTTAACAATACATAAGCTAAAAATGTGAATCTTATTCTTGGATTTTTTATAGTAAATTTTAATTTAATGTTGTAATATATATAATGTATTTTTCTAAAGGTGCCACTTTTTAAATCAATTTTACATTAAAATGTCTTACACCCGTAATTTTTACAGTTATCAGTTTTACGCACATGCGCCTTTGTTAATTTTATTAGGACAAAATTCTCGACATGTGGTGCATTTATATTTAATTTATAATTTATTATAATTTTGTATAATACGCAATACTAATTTGCATACCTTCTCATCCTCCTCGTCATCAATATTTTCCTCCTCCATATCATCATCTATATCGTCAAACTCTTCGATGTGAGTACCTGGAATGAGATTGTCCTGATGTACATCCGATATAATAATATAAAAACCTGATACATTACAAATAGATAATGTATCAAAACTGCACAGAACAAATTATAAATATTACATAATAATCCAAACAATCGTATCTTACAGAAAGCACTTAGATATATAAATTAAAATCTTTACTTCATATTAAAAAAATGTTTATATTTAAATATACTCATACGTTTTATTTCATGCATGATCTTTAAAAATCCCCCTTCCTGTATATAGTAACACAAGATTGAACAGCATGCATCATATATATGATAAAAGCCGTGACAAATTATTCACAACACAAATTCCCGGAAGAGAAAAAAGTCCTAACCAAAGAAATATACCCTAGCATAACTTTCTCAGTATGTTTTTTTTTTTCAGAAGGCGTCCAAATCCACTTATATCGCCCTTATTTAACATATTTTTATACGAATAAATCAGTTAGATAAGAACATTAATTTCTATCGTAATTTCTAACGTATAAACAGAATCATATAGTCAGAAATATCCAATGAGAAAATGCGCTTCTAAGATCTGATTGTCAAGAGGAGATTGTGAGAAAGTATCATAAAATAAAACATACATAATAAGGTTGCCAATGATCCATCAACGACAATATTGTCTTTGGACGTCAAATCTAATTTCGCAAAAACATGGATATATTTCTAAATAAAAGTACATACCAAGGAGATTATGCCCAACTATATGAACAGGCCCGCTGCCATTAACCAATGTAAACGTGACAGGAGGGTCTGGGAAACTAAGATCAAGAATGATTTGCGCCGTTTTTCCCATTTCTAACAAAGCAATTGGCGTTTTGATGGGTCCCTTCAATCCCATCGCCTCAACCTGCAGCACATTGAGCTCTCCAGGCTTGGCTTCTGGTCCCAAGAGCGCCTGCAAAGTTCACAATTAGTAATAACTATGTAGAGAAAATCAGATATACACCCAGAAACACCTGTAAAATTTATCATTGACAGTCGTTATTACAGCGTGAATTAGGTAAATATAACAATATAATAATATAAGTAAAATCGTTCAAAATTGTTGTGCTTCGGCAAATTTTTAATTTATCGCCAACTATAATGAGAACTATAGCTGAACAAGATATAACTATGCTTTATATCGTTCACGTTTTTATCAATATTTGGTTAAGCCAGAATAAATGTTAATAAGTGATAGTACAGGCAATTTGATTACAGGCATTTTCTGCAAAATCATTCGTTAATAAGCACCTTAATATTCAAGATTCACCTCGTGATTTATGCTAAAATCGACATATTTAGGATTTACAGTTCGACCGCGGTGGATCACGGTTAGCGTGTTGCGGACAAACGAACACACATGCTCGCCCCTTCGTCGACGCGATTACCTCGCGAAATTTCCGTTACAGCCTTCTCTCTCTCTCTCTTCCCAATATAATAGAACGTGATCTGTAAAGTGGGGGAAGGGCGAAGCCGTTGTGAAAAAATGGCGCCAAGCATCAAACCCTCACAATGTGTTTCCGTCAAGAAAACTTGGAATTAGCCGGGCGCGCTTATCTCGCGCAATCGGAAAACAGAATTCACGCGAACGCCGCGTAAACGGTGATATGCCACGTTTCCGAGGAGAACCGATCGGCTGGAAACGAGCAGCGTCCCGACGAGTCGTTTCCTCGCGCCCTTGGATCCGGGCGGTGAAACTTCGCGCCGGTTACTCGGCGGAACTCCATACCGAAGGAACGGAGAGAGAGAGAGAGAGAGAGAGATGCGATTGACCGGTGTCGAGCGGCCGCTTGAAGTTTCGCGCGCAAACGTTCGCGGCGATAACGAGCGTCGCGTGAGAGAGAGAGAGAGAGAATAGATATCGGAACGACTCTTCGTCGGGAGTCACTGGAGCAAACGTAACGCGACGCTTTCTCGCATAGCGGTACGCGCGAAGACGCCGCAAGCCAGCTGTACCTCGTCGTCGGCTACCTGCCGGCGTGGGAGGGAAACAAAAGGAAGCGTCCGCAGCACGCACCCATCTTACCCGCCTAGCCCGCGCATCGCGCCGTCGCTGCGCTCACCTCGCGTAATGAAAGAATCGCAGGCGGGGAGGGCTACCGAGACCGTCACGGTCTCTCTCTCTCTCCCTCTTCTTCTCTCTCTTTCTCTCCTGCTCGTCGCCGTTGTGCTCGCGAGAGAAACGTCGTACTTACCATTTTGATGATGAGCTTCTGATCGGCGCCCATGTGCTGGTTCGTGCCGTCGAGATCGTCATTCTTGTGTTCGGGGTCCCATACCTCGCTGGCGTTCAGTCCCTCGAGGGTGATTCCTGGACACACAAATCACACAATTTGTAGTCCGGTCGCGCGGTGAGACGGCTCGCCGGCGACGACGATACTAAGACCCGAAGCGTCTCGAAAATACGCCGGGCGACACGACCCGGTGCGAAATTCGATACGCGCGATACCCGAGGCGCGTTAACGACGCCGGCCGTCTCTCTCGGGGGACAATGGGGTTCGTCGCAATGGCCGAATGCCGCAGCCGGCGTCCCGACTAGCGCACCCCCGGAACGCTTTCAATGGCCGACGGCGCGCTAAGTATCGGCGTGCATCGCGAAATAACGAGCGTACGGTGGTCGCGAGGACGCGGCCAGTCATATTTACCGTAGAGATACTCTTCCGCCATGGCGATCGGTCCGATATCAGCGGATTCTCGGGGCTAAGCGTGACCAGTGTGTTCTCGGGGACCGACGGTGGACGTGTGCGTGACGCCGTACGCGGTGATGGAGAGGCTGGAGAGACGCCGCGCGCGCGCGCAACCGACCGATTACTGCGCGGAGGTACCGCGGGAGTCGCACGTGCTGGCCGAACGCGTAGCAAATAAGCCGAGTGGCGTACTCGCGTAGTCGCCTCGCGCGCTCAGAGTACGTTCCGCGCGCCGATTGGCCGGATGTGGCGTGCGACGTTGCCAGGGTCTCCTCAGCGAAGGCGACGAGTGTGGCGAACCCCCCCGTTTCTGTCGATTCGGGAATTTATTTCTCCAGCGAGCGCGACGCAAACCTACGGTCTCTGGAAAGTTATATACGGTGAGCTCGATGAGAGAGAGGTCTCGCGCGGGGAAGAGAAAAGGTGAAGTGAAATGTCGCGACGAAGCGAGAGAGAGAGGAACATCAATCGCACGGAGGCAAGTCGATTCAAATGACTGAAGCGGCAACCTTGCGCGGCCTCATTGGCCGGGAGCGGCAGCGGCGCCGCGTGGCGAGCGCGCGGAACTACACGTCACGGGCACATTGGGCCACATTGACGGAATAAATAACGGAAACGCAACACGTGAACAACGCTCCCGTACGAAATGTCATGCGTATTCGCGGCATTCTGAGGAATTCGCACGTATCCACCGGTCGATGACGAGCGAGTCTTCGTGAGGGATCCTGTCTCGCGCTCTCGAAAGGAAAATCGCACATCCACGGTACGTCGTCCGGCACGGGGGGACCTCCTCGAGACGGCTCTCTACTCCTGCTGGTCAGAATGCGTGCCGACACGTGCATCCTGCTGATCTACCTGTCGCTCGCGATCTTCGGCGGGGCCGAGAAAAACGAAAGCACCTTCGTGGCGACGCACGAGTGGCAGACGGTGAAGAAAGGTGAGTTCCGCGCGGACTACTTTGCGCCGACCCGGTCGTCTCTTCGCGTCCCAACACCACGTCAGTCGAATCCCCGCCGTATGGCGATCCTCGCGTGCGACGTGCTGCGACGTCTCCCCGGCGTCGCCTCCCCGAGAACGCGCGCGCACGGCCCGACGCGCTATTTTCCGGAACTGTCCAGACGCCGGAGCGCGCTTCGTGCGGAAAATAGTGCCGGACCCGGTGAGGCCTTTCGAGGCGCTGCCAGTGACGTACGCTCGGCCTATTGCACCTCGCAATCGTGTGCGATTTTTCGAGAAATTTCGCTCTCATTTTCGGGGTCTGTACGGATCTTTTTTGGAATCTTAATGCAGGACGATGATTTTTGCCTTGAATAACTTAGTATCGGTTGTCAACAATATACATGCAGCATATACAAATTGTTTGTATTTTTGATAATAAATATGATTTTCACGCATTTTTATTACATAGAGATGTATATCTTGAGATGGGAGAATTTAACACAGAATTAGATTATTTGAGTAATTCGAACATTTTATAAATATATGATTGTGACTAGGACTACATAAAACATTCAATTTACCAGGAACTCCTATCCCAAAAGGACTTCATGTAAGGCATAATTTTATGACCGGAGTGACAGAAGCTAAATTGATGGACGACACGGAGGAAGTAAAAGAAGAGGATGAAACTGTGAATCGATCAAATTCCAAGTCGCTGACGTTACATCCCGATAAGTCGGTGTTGGAGACTGAAGAAGCAGATTCGGTGAAAATAAAAAAGGAGTCAGAATCTTTGAAATTCCCGATCGATGAGCTAAAGGCAAGATTGAAAAAACTTAAGCAGGAGGAAGCAGATATATCAAATGCGAATGTAAATATCCTTTATCATTGATATTTAGAGTTTAAAAAGTTTCAAACTGCCTCAGATAATATAGATTACAGTTTGAATGTTCAATTTTCACATGTTCCTTCTGTATGATCATTGTAATCTTTTGCTCACTCAATACTTTCAATATGTTACATCATCTCGATTGTAGTTACTTTTGTAGTGGAAGTTTCAAGCTGATAAATTTCACAACTTTAATATGAAAGCAGTGTGACATCTTCTCTCTCATTCTAGGATGGAGAGACCCGATCAAAAACCGGGAAATACTTTAAACGTTTTTACGAAACTGTAAAAGAGGAGCTTAACGCTCTGAAGATCAATGTTACGAGTGATTCCGAGTTATTGAAGAGATTCTTCCAGAAATTTCTTTCGTATAAAAATAGCATCACCACAGGAACGTTAACCGACGTAGAGACTGAGGAAGTTTTGGATATTCTGAACAATTTAGAATATCTTCTCCACCAAATTGACAATGCTAAGATATTCTCAGACATGGATGGGTAAGTGTAGCAGGTACAATGTTCTCAGAGAGGAAAAAGAAGAGGCGGTCGACTAATAATTTGCGCTCTCTTTTTTTATTACAGACTGATTAAGATCATATCACCGTGTCTCAATGGAACCAACAATGAAATAAAAGCGGAAGCGTTGCGTCTTCTGGGAACGGCCGTTCAATCAAATCCAAAAGTGCAAGCTAAAGCATTGGAAAATGACTTTATTCAAAAAATACTGCACGTTTTGTCGACGAGCAGTAAAATCGAAGTGAAATCCAGATGTCTCTTCGCTCTAAGTGCCTTAATACGCCAGTTTCCGGCCGCTCAGAAAGCTTGGATCGATCACGGTGGTTTGCAGCTGCTCGGCAAAATCTTGTACGACGATCAGTTGCAGATACAAATGAAAGCTATGAAACTAATCAACGATCTAACGATCGAGAGGCAGAATCTACAAGAAATCTACGATGTGGAGCAGCGTCAGCAAAAGATGAGAGAGTACGCCATTACCGATTTCGAGCAGAGGTTACTCAGGCATGATTATTGCAAACTCCTAAGTAACTTAATGGTCAAGTGCTTCAAGGAAAAGTTAACCGGCCAATTCAGCATAGAGAATAATGATTTTCTTGAAGTTGTTTCCGACAGCATGATCACGGTGTCTCCTATTTGTAGAAGTGAATTCAAGGACATTAAGCTTCTGCTCGTACCTGTCATAGATAATCTCTTGCATTTCTATCAAAATCTGAATATCAAACTCACCGTCGATGAAACGGACGTTCTAAAGAGCCTGATATTGCTGATCGAGAGATTAAAAGTAACTATTTTTGAAGCGCCTCACGATGAGCTGTAAATAGAATATGAGCTTTTGACACCTGAAGCTTGGCCGGAAAAAAACTCGGCGGATTGCAGAGACTACAAATTGAATTCCAGCCTTGTGTTAGCAGGATGTAAAATTGTAATCATTTGTGCAATAACATCGGGCCTTCCCGAGTCACATTCATTTGAAATAGCGTGAGAAATTTCGCGCGAGGAAAAAGGCAAGCTTGGCTATTGTGAAAAGAGTTTTGGAAGAGGAGGAAGAAAAGATGCCATCTGCGGCGAACGAGTAGTTGTAATTCGTGAATCCTAAGGAGAGTTATTATTTAATCGTGAAGGATATTTTGTTATTCTAAATATAACGTTACACAACGTCTCACTGTAAATAATTTATTACACTTGGCACCGGTGATCAGTCAGAGTGTGCAAGTTTTTGTCTTTTGCGCCTGAGAATGTCGCACTTCGATCCAAATACTAATCAGAATATAAAATTGATTACTGTATTAAATTATATTATGCTAAATCTACAAAATTCTTTAATTTAATGTATACATATAACGAACTTTTTTGTAATGATTCCAATATCGTGAGAATCTTCTTTTCATTGGCCTATCTTGTAATGTTTGGATAACGCCTCGGACATAGCAGACGGGAATTTCAAAAACCCAAATTCCCAAAGACCCATTGGAATTCGATTCTAGATCTCCCCCTTCCCACAAATGTATCTCTTATATGTATGTACAATTGCATATAAAATTCACAAGAAATATCATTTTGAAGTAAATGACTGAGAAGTATGTATATACTATCTAAGAGGCATTTTTAGTTGCTTCAACCGTCAGTTAGTATGAATGTACATCTGTTAAGTTTTTTGTTTAAAAATAATTATTTAATAAATTATTTTTTTCGTACCGATTGCATTCTCTTTTGTCTCAGACAGATTCCTTAATATATAAGAGTGGTAAAGTATACAAAAAAAAAATATATATATAATATATATATTGCAGAATAATATATTTTATTTACAAATCATAGCGAGAGAATTAGAAATTACATATGAACAATTTTCATTCGTAATCGTAATTCATAGAAAATATTTTTGTAAAAGACGTTCATTTTTAGTTTTCCAAGTAGAGCTTTTATTTACAGGTGCGAGTAAAGAAGCACTTCCCTGTATCACGTGATCAGAATGAACTTGCTTTTTCACTTGTTAAGTACAAGTGTTGCGTTTACTCGTGCAACTTGTAATATGTGGACATTGCGCGTCAAGAGAAAATCGCAGTAGTCAAATTTTTGTCATTAGTTTTACCAATTTTTTACAAAGACTGCGACTTACAACAAGGTGTATAATTGTTTAAAAGAGTGTATTATCTAAATTTAATTTCAAATATCTCTAAATGTGTACATATAAATGAAGTATGAAGTATTTTAAATATGTGGTAATGTAAATTTTTCGTAATAATATTCACAGAAATATAAAATAAATATATTAAAAAGTCACAGTAGATATTGAAAATATCCTTTCTGCTTTCGTGTTCCACTTACGGTTTTTGTTATGATTATATTAAATTTTCACCAAAATGATAGATATATTTTACTGATATGACGTCAACATTCTCTAAAATACGCGAATGAAAGGAACATAATTCTTTTCACTTGCTTCAATTTGCTCTTTACATCTTACAGTCTATTCAAAAAGTAATCTAATTCTATAGGATCTTACAAGTTTTATCGAATTATTAAAAAGGTCGGTATGCATATATTTATAAATTTGAATTTTACCGAATTTGTACACAAATTTCGCGTCGTTTGTGAATGCTTGTTCAATCTTTTTTTTTTTTAATCATAAACTCAGAATACAACTTCAACTCTCCAATTGCGTACACAACACATGGAATACTTTTTCTCTTTATCGTATGATTATTCTTTAAAAAAGAAGGTGAATCGGATCTGTGATATATACAATTAGGAACGTATACATCTTAATAAACTTAATGTTTTCGTGCGTGCACCATAAATATACACGCATGTAAAACGCTTCACGCTTAGATTCGAAAGTTTTCATCGCAACTCCCGCATATCTTTCTATATATCAAACAAGCAAATAGCATGAACATCGTATCATCTTTCTAATTTCTTCACAACTTGATGGTTATACGTCAAATTGGTTTTGGGGCTTTTTTAAAATTTTTAATTGGTATCGCATTGGTCCGGTTATTCAAACGAAAATAACCAGGTGACCGTCAATATCGCGCTGGAAGGTATCGACACTCTGACTATGACGGAAGATGTGTGCGTTTATTATGCATAAACTATACGAAATTTATAACAGCATTTTTCCGAATTATCTTGTCAATATTAACGCGATAACATGTGTATAATTAGTTCCACGATAAATTTAACGTACAAATTATATATGTATATATTGTTTTCGTCGAAGGAACAAATCTTGTCTCGCTGCTACTATTGTTTCGAGCTTAAAAGAGAAACAGTCGCCTGCTGTATCGTCCAAATCGCGGTTTCTCGTCGCGGTGTAAATTGTACTCTTGCAAACTCAAATTAATCTCATTCAAATATTACAGGCAAACAGAATAAACTATAGAAAAAAGATAATCTCAGACTTAGATAAATAAGGTATTCCAGTGCTGAAGAATATTTCCAATATAAAACGCTACAAACCCTAGACTAAGTCCAATATATATACATATAATATACACATACTAATAAATTATATATATAATTTATTAATATTACATATATATTATATGTATACATATATATACAATTACACATTGCATACATGAGTTTGGTCAGTCGATTCTCGTTGCTGTATAGCCTTCTCGATCAAATCCTACCACAATTGAGCAACAAGTATTATATAACTCTATGGCAACTTCGGAGTACTATCTCTTTCTCTCTGATGCTAAAACGTAGAGGCGGCAACGGCGGAATTATATTCAATATATGTATATATTAACATAATAGGACCTTCTTAGTTAACGGAATCAATTTTGCACGTAATCAAACACATTAGTGATGTGATCAGAACGATTAAACGAACATCAACGCGGCCATTACGACGATCCCAAAAAGTAGAGCGCATAGTTGTTTCAACGACTCCATCGGGTTTGTTTCTCTCAACAAGTCGGGCAAGATGGTTACCAGACCAATGTGTATGAATCCTCCCGCAGTTAACGGCAATATCCAATTGGTTTTTTCCTCTGAAAAGAAGGTTATTGACATTATTTATTATTTTCTCGTGCGCGTTACTTATCGAGTTATCGAGAATCGAATTGAAATGTACACTTCGGATTTCTGCGGAGAGGCCGCCCCCTTACCTAGACCACTGGAAAAGAACACGGCAGCTAAAGCACCAACGACACCACCGCCAGCGGTGACCAACTGCGCCCGCGCAGCGTCCCATCTGCTAAATCCGCTTCGCAGCAGAATGGCGAAGTCCCCGACTTCGTGAGGTATTTCGTGCACCAAAATAGTGAATGTGCTGAGGACACCTACGCGGAAGGAAATGAGGAACGAGCCACCCACAGACAGGCCGTGAGTAAAATTGTCGAGAAAGTTCATGAGAAGGTTGAGGTACCCGGGAAAGGACTGAGGATCGAAGAACCTGGCATGAGACAAGCTGTACGTGAGCTTGTTCGCCTTGGCGATCAAACGGTCAACGATGTTGTTATTCTTTGGGATCGGGTAGGTAACGGGCTGGTCGGCGGCCCGCAATATCGTCGACGCGAAGCCGTTGCTCTTCGCCAGTTTCTTCAAACAGATCTTCGTCTCGTCCATCAACGGCCCGTTGTCGTTGGGACACTTGCTCGCTAATGCCGATCTCACAAGGTCCACGTCCTTGTTAAAGCCGTTCTTACGCCGCGGATCCTTGACGCCGTTCGGTGTTTGCACGACGAATCCGTTCTTGTCCGGCTGCTTCCGTAGGAAGATCTACGAAGAATATGGGCGGTTTGAATAATCGACGTCTCGAACAATACAATAACGTTGATTTCGCTCGGGCAACCATTTGATTGAGTGGTGAGGCGCGAATCGAGTATCTGCGTGGTTCTCGAATCGAATCTTCGGTAATATATTCGAAATCGAATTGAATTTCACGTCGAGTCGAATCCAATTCTTCCTTTAATTCGAACACGAGTCGAATTTTCCGAGTCGGATTTACATTACAGACTGATCTGAATATAATGATAAAGTAATTTCAATAGATATTAAACACTTCCTTTTAATGAATAAAATATTATCACAGCATAGTTTTCAGAAAATCTTCCAATCACGAAGAAAAAATACTGATGGGTATCAGAGTGTGTGCTTTTGATTGTGTATTACCTCGCTGGTGTTTCGCAAGCACTCCTTCGCGAAACCGTTCTTCGCGGCCTCGGTGTTCGTCAGCGTGATACAGTTGTTGTTGTCCATCTCCTTCTCCATGCTCGCGTCCTGGCTCGAGGCTTCGTCGCTCTGCTGCTCCGCAATGAGCGGCGCTTCCTCACTCACGGCAGCAATGATCTTCTCGAAGATAACGAAGAACAGAAAGGCGGACAGTATCCACAGACCAGCCGGTGTAGATGCCTGGCTGTTTTCGGCTGTAAATAAGAGTACGCGTCAATAAACGCGCCCTGCGGAACGTGCCTGCAACTGGAAGGAGATGGATCAAGGATGGATATACTGAGAGAAAAAGATTTCTTCAAATTTAATAAGTTTTATTATTCCATCCAAACAAATCTTATTATTGACACGCTCCAACGAAACTAACGTTTCCATTAATAAGTACGACTCTTCTCTTAAACTCTTCAACGAATATGTATCTTTATCTTAAATTTAAAAAAATTGTTTGAAACGAAAGATAATTTTCTTATAAAGAAATTATTTGTTTCATTTTACATATTTATGGTGATCAATATTTTATTGATATATTATTGAGATATTATTTCAAATAACAGCGTTCTTTCTGTTAAATAATAGAGTTTTCCTGAACGAAACAATACAATTTTTTACTCAAACAAATAATATTTCGTGTAAGTATATGTTGTTTCTATGAGACAAATTTTAGCCGAGTAAATAGAAATACTAAATCTAAAGAAACTTTTGTCTCTGTGTAGGAGAGAAAATGAAGCGTTCACTTACTAATAAATTATTAAGTCAACAATAATGGAGTTTGTAATGTATCGTATATACGGCTTCATTAATCGAGAAACTGATTCATATTCATGCGCGCGCAAATCGCGTATTCTCCGATGTACACCGTTACATACTCAATGATGATTCCACTCGAATTACGTAATTTAACACACACACCGTACGGCCCGTGATACAACGTAATCGATTCCATCGGTATCCGCCGAAAGAGAACAAATGGAAAATGCGTAAGGGGATCTCCAATTCGCGAGGCACTGATCAATTTACACATAATGGTATCATCGGCCTCGCCTGACTGGATCGTCTCGAATTCCCTATCGCAATTCGGTCGGCGGGACATTTAATTTGCGCAGGGAACGCAGCTGACAATTCAAATCCCGCAACTGACGCACAATAGGATTCGAAGTCGCCACTTAAATCGTTCATAAAAGCTCTCTCTCTCTCTCTCTCTCTCTCTCTCTCTCTCTCTCTCTCTCTCTCTCTCTCTCTATCTTTATCTCGACGATGTCGTGCCGCTGCATCTTAACGTGCTGAAGCTCGCAACAAAACGTATTCATAGCGCGTACATGCGTATGTATGATATGCGCGAAAATGGAAGAAACAGGCGTGAGAGCGGTTTAGTTGACAAAAATAGCGAAAAATGTGAGTTTCATTCTCAAGGAAGTAAGAAGATAGCGAGTGAGTTTAAAAAAAAAGTGAGCGAAAAATGAGTCTTCTAAATAATTTTTACATTAAAAAAAATTCAATTGTCTATCTATTTTATACCATTTCATTTCATTTATACCATGTCACTTAACTCGTACGGCTAATTTCTCCGAGCGAACAAACATAATACGCAACGCCTGTATGGGAAAAACGGAATTAAAGGGCATACTTAACGTACGCTAATCCGGAATAGGATCTTAGGAACGCTAGACAAGGACGTTGCGTGTTTCCATCTACGTTGCATCGAACGATAGATATCGTAACAGCAGACACGCAAGTCGTGGCAGTTAACTTGTTAGCTGCGCTGTTGCGAGCTTCATTAATACAAACCGAGATTATTCGAACTTTTTTCGTTCGTATTTCCTCCTGATAACAACGTGCCGCTGACGTACGTGTTGTTATTGTCACGCTGTCCTACTATGGCTAGATCTATAATAAACGTAGCAAGCCTTTCACTCCAAGCGCTAAGCAACAACGTAATTTCCAGCGAAAAGCGTTTCTAATGCTACCAGACGTCGCAGTTCCGAAGATTTGAAAACGTTATCAGCGAAAAAACGAGGCATCGCCGAAAACGCCTTTTGTCAGAAATAACGTTTTTTTACACTTTATTCGTTTAGAACAAAAAGCTAGAGGCTTATTAACTTATCGTAGATCCGGACTAATGCCATAAATTCATCAAATCTATTTTTCGGGTCCGAATAAAGGAAGAAAAAGAAGGAGAAACGCGTGTCCTTAATGTCCGAAAATAGACGCGAGTTCACTTTCACTCCCAATTTCCAGTGTATCGCTCGATCGACGGTTCACCTCGTTTTTTCTCGCGACGACGCGCATGACTTTTTCACGATACACCGAAACTCAAACGCTCTTTGCGAGCCGGACGGCTGAAATCTCGTTGCGCCAACAGAGCATGAAAGCAAACGCGCAATTACCTCGTCTCTGAAATTCGCTCTCGAAAGCTTCCGGCAAAAGGTGTAGAAAAACATCGCCCAACAAAGCGCCCACGGCGAAGCTGAGCAGGATCCTCAAAGTGCCGCCGTTCTCTGCAACAAGGAGGACAGAATTGTTATTCGTTAACGCACAGGCACTCATTCTATAAGGTTTACCATTAAGAGGTTTCATTTTTAAACTACTAAAGATAGAACTGTCATACCTCAACAGCTGATAAGTAAAAAGTACACGGTTAACGAAAATGGAACGATATACTCTTCAGCAACGTATAGAAATGTTGTGAAAATTCACTACAGAAATGATGAAAATTTCGCGGAGACAATTCGTAAGCTCATAATGCTCTCGGTCGTGATGAAGCACCTCCTCGTCCAGCAGTTGTTAATCTAATCAAGAAATTAAAAAAAAAATAATTTTTTCTAATAATTAAAAATGAAATTTCTTAATGGTAAATCCCGTAGACACGAATGTTTACGGGCTGCAGCGTGCGTTACACGCACGTAGCGTATGGTAATGAGAAAGAGGGAAGTAATGAAACATTCAGTCGGGCCTCCGGTGTGTCGCGTATTCTTTTCCACGATAAGCGTTCCTGGGCGTGAATTCGTCGCCATTCCTGAATTCGAGAGGAACCTCCGACGATCGCACGAATTTCCCGTGAGAGAGGACGAAAGAAGAAGCGACGGAGCGTGCGTGGCCGATCATCGGAACCGCAAATCGCGCGGGCGGTCGTTCACGTGTCGTTGCGGGCGCGTATGGTACACGATGATAAGTCGACGGAGCGAGCTCACGTGACAACCGCAAACCATGGATATATGCGCGTTTCTTCGTGCGGGTCACGGGATGCTGCTCGTGGTGTAGACATAATTCGTCCGTTCCGATACCGCGCGTTTCTCTCGCTCCGCAAATCGAATCTCCTGCCATGCGCGAAGGGCGCAATGACGCACTCCCACGCACTCCATGCTTACACACTCAGAAAAAGAGACTTGAAAATTTACTTGTGAAATATAAGCGTTATCTCACAGAAATAAACGTTGATTTAAATACGGCGAAATAAAACTTTATTCCTATAGCAAGTAAATTAAACACGTGAATATTTTTGTAAATTAATAGTTTGAACTTTTTTCGTATTTTTTACATGCTTTCTATGGCAATTTCTGTACATTTTCATGTAAATTGTTGTAAACTTGCTGTGCCAAGACGTGATTTACCGAGCCGAACGACAGCTTTGTTCGTTGAAACGGACATCGTTTGTGTCGAGAATATAAAGATAAAAAAATATCCTTTTGAAAACCGAGACACGATGTCAATCGGATGAATGAGTTAGCTGGAAGCATGCAGCGAATCGCGGAATGATTAGAAGCGCGATACTTCGCCGAACGACCATAGCTCGCGATAATAAATGGGGAAAGTCCAAAGTTGTCGAGCCACGTATTGAAATTGAAGCGACGTAGTTAATAATCGTCGTTGATAGATAGCATGCGCACACACGCATATGAATGCATATTTGTATTAGGAGCAGAAGATTCCACCGTTTGCTATCCGTCTAATAACCGTAATGTCAACGTATGTGTGTGTATGATTCATGCGGAAAAGGCGAGGAAATGGCGTTGCAAGGAGATATAAATAATGTGTAGGCGAGCCTTGATCCACATGCGGCGCAACGCGACCGTTAAATCGTCGCTTCTTCTAGTGCTGGCGAGACTCTTCATCACAATCGCGACTTCGGCATTGCGGGGCCGCCCCCACGGTTCTTTTTCTCTATGATAAATCGCAACAAGTTACGGATACACTAGAGTCATAGATATAAATAGAGAAGCGCAACTGAATTCGATATAGTTATCGAAAGTCTGCCGTTTTCTTCGCATTATGATACCTGGAGCAAGCAAAAATAAGGGAAGTGAAAAAAGGGAGGTTAGTAAAGATGAGAGAAGGAAGGTTAGTTGCAAAAGGTTAACCTAAAAGAATTAGTCTAGTATAAATCTATTACTAATTATTTTACTTTTATACAATACCTTTTTCAACATTTTTTACCATTCACACATCCTAAGTAAGGTTGTTTCAATAATAATTCGTTTAGTACAATTTTTTTGACTCTTTTTGTTGTATTTTTTTGCAATAACAACGTAACGGTAAAATATGTGCACTTGGCCCCTTTTTTATCCTCTTTTAAAAAAAGAAAAGATATTGTTTAATTCAGCGCTTCAACTTTTTACGGAAATTGAACCGCGAAAATTGACACCGCGTTGATATCCCAAAGGGGCGGTTAAAAAGTAAAACACTCGATGATAAACGCCCGTGTCAGTTTCATTCGACGATACGCGGACCGCGATTGTTGAAACCCCCTGAGCGAGGACTAGCTATTCCTAGAGAATAATACAGCGAAGGCGTTGATTCAGCCGGCTGGAATTCGACGGGTAAAAAAGAAGAAAGAGTGATCAGGTCATTCAAACGAGCAAGCGGTTAAAAATTCGTTCGTTCGGTCGAATCGTAGTCGTTCGTTTTACGACGACCTACTTTTTTACGTAGTATTCTTACGGCATACGTATTCCGAAACTGATGCAATTCGATACGAATTGCATCAGTTTCGGAACAGGTATAAAAAAAAATGTATCCCGTCGTTTCGATTAGCATAAACGGCGTAAATAAGTGAGGATATTATTGATGAGACATGAATATGCATGGCGATGCAGCCGACGATAAGATAAACGGGCACTTATTTTCCTTTCCTTTTTCACAACTCTTAGAAACAATCATCATATTCTGTGAGCAATTCTTTCTCGATGTTGCATCACGACATTGATGTTTCCTATAAATGAGTCGCATCGTCGAAACTCCGTCTCGTTCAAATCGCGGAATTTTTCGATCTCGGTCATTTTTTCTCGCTCCGCAACTAGCTATTATAGTCCGTCTATAATAAAATGTCTCTCTTCAAAGACTATGAGTGATAAAAAGTTTATCGCGGCGCGGTGGAATACTTTATCATATCTACATCGGTATCACATTCTGTCTCGATTTTTACTTCCTTTCGCGCGGGAAAAGTTTCCCCGGGCGACAACTGAAGGACGGTTTATCAGTGAGCTCAACAGGCTAATTTATCTCTTTCTCTTATTTCTGGCGGGAGAATATCATCCCCTGGCCGTGTTTCGGCGAAACAATTTTACACGCTGATATAACGTGCGTCGCGCGCAACGACGGACGCGAAAGTGGCAGATGACGTTTTATCTTTCTCGTTCTCGAGCAATCGCTCGCGGAAGAGCGGCGCCGTCCTCTCTCTCTCTCTCTCTCTCTCTCTCTGCATTTAAGCGTAACGCGAGATTGAAAAGGTGTTATACGCGAGATTAAAAAATCCAAAGAGAGAGAAAGAGAGAGAGGGGGGGAGGGGGGTGACAGGCAACCGCACGCTATTACGCAGCAATACGCGAACCCGTCCAACATTACGCAGGCGCGATCTTTCGGAACGTGTGCTACAGTTATCGCGTAAAAATATCGTCGCGAATCGCCGAAGGCAAGTCACGTGGTATTTTCTGTGAGCCAAACGTTAAACGTATTACAGTAAAAATGAATGTCACTCGTCGAATTAGGCGTTATGCGATTGGATTAATACTGATTTACAAGTGAGCGACAATTGCTGATCTTCGCATCGATGGTTTATTCATTTGACATTTTTTACAATTGTAGCGCCGACTGACCTTTTTCTCTCGGTGCGATTATAATTCGTTTGACAATCGCTGTCTGGCGGCGATGCACCACGCGCGTGCGCCTCTCGCTCGCTTCTATTCTTTGTTGTTATTGAATCGCGACGCGTACTTGAAAACTCGTTGCGCATCGAACGTTTCACATGTCGCAACAACAATCGAATGCGCGCGGCACGAGCTCGCTGCGTGCGCTTAGATCATCTTTCTCCTAGAAACGCACACGCCGCTAATTTTGACTCTTTCGCGTCGCTTTTTTATTCGTCACGCTGAAACGAGACGGAATGCTTCGGAAAATTTTCGAGACACTTCGGATCGCCTTCGGCATTCGAATTACCTTTGATCGTGGAAGAATTTACGAAGTAGCGGTACCCGTCTTTCGCCGTGAACGATTTTCTTCGTTATTTTGAGGTGCGCAAAGTTGCTCGTGTAACATATTCGCGTAATGATCGTTTCATTGAGTCGACCAACAATCTCGAGCTGCAAATACGCACGCGGAATAATATTAAGAAAGAATGAAAAATGCTAAGACGCCGAGGGGATCAGAGGCGAACGCTCGCAGTTAGTGTAATAATTGCGTGCGTGGCACGTCGCGAACTCGCAGTACAGATGTTGGAACTGCTGTTAGAATAATAACCCGATTGCGCAATAGAATCGGGACCAAGAATCGCGAGGATCACGTAGTAGCGCGGCCGTCGCCTCGAGATACGAAAAGCGACATAATCCAGAAAAAGAGAGAGGAAATGAGACTATTAATACGAGACTGTTTTGCAGAAACGGCAGCAGGGATTTACACGACGGGGTAATACGGGGATATTAAAATCTTTCAGTTTAGTTCCCGAGCTACAAATCACCACGCCGCAGTGAGCCTTTGAATTTCAGAAGTCGTAATACGTTCGCAAGGGAGAAACTCGAGTTCTCGATTTCGCGAGCGTCTCCGAACGTCTCATTTCCCCTATCCGAATCTCGAAATAATTCCCACCGCCCAGATCCGCCCGTGAGAAATCGCGAGGATCAGTAAAATCCGCGCTATCCTCGCTGTGAAATTTTGAATTTAACCTCCGAGATAAAGTTTAAAATACATGCTTACGGAAAACCGATCTCGCGTTGGACCGCGATGTCTGCTCGCGTCATTTCATCATACGAACGTACGATGAGTTTTATTTATTTTTATTTTTAATTCTTACGTACAGTCTCTGGCATAACATAATTTGATCGATAGATGAGCCATATTATAAAGCTGGTTCTCGGAAGTCAATGAATTGTAAAAAATTAAGGTACGTCTAATAATATGGCCATGGAACTGATATTTTTATCATTCCCATGTGAGATATTTCCATGCAATTTTCGAGCAGTGCAAAAATGTCTCCTCGGCATTAACAGTTCTCGCGCGTTGTACTGCT